CTACTGGCCTGATCCTTTGAAAAGCGTAACAAAGAAATATGCTCACCGACAGTGTTTGGTAAAACATTATAACACCTCTTCTTTGAACAAACAGCTCATATATATATATATATATATATATATATATATATATATATATATATATATATATATATAAGACAGTATGTATATTTGGTGAGGGAATATACATATGCAGGCTAACAGGAAAACGCACGCACACAGGGATAGGAAGACATCTCTCATGAACACATCTATCAACAACACCTCTCGTACCAAACCTAATGGTTTTATTAACACTTAGGCATAAATTCACTTTTGCCAACTGTCCAGAAAGGAGTTCAAAGATCACTAACAAATACAGAAAACGGACAATAAGACATCAAAAGAACATAAGGAAAATTTATTCCTTTTAAAAAACTATTTCTTTTATTTGCTTCTTCAGGCCACGAAACCGGAAAACAATTATAGCAGTAAATGGTAGTCTCGTAAGCGTAGATACCAAGTTGATAGCTGATGTCATTGGGAAGGTCGTTAATACAGATTAAAAAAACAGGGTATGACCAAGAATGGAGCCCTTGGGGTACGCCCCCGTTATTATGAAAGGATTTAGACGAGTGGCAGTTCAGGACAACATTCATTTCACGATTTGATAGGAACGACTGAATCAGCTCAAAAACGTGCCCGCAGGTACCATAACTTTTCAGTTTGTGGAGAAGACCTGAATGCCAGACCCTGTCAAAGGTTTTCAAAATGTCAAATGCTACAGCCCGGGCTTCACCGTTTTTATCTAGAGCATGATAGATTTTTTTCGGCAATTTTCCTTAGTACATCAGCATTTGATTTGGAGAAACAAAAGCCATATTGCTTGTCACAGAAAAGGCTCTGTGATGAGAGATGACTAACCAATTCAACATTGATTAGGGCTTTTAGGGTTTTCCCCAAAAGAGGCAGAAAGCTGATAGATGGAGCAGATGGTTCACCAGATTTCTTAAAAACTGGTACAACAAGACGATGACTCCCAACAAGCAAGAAAGCAGGAGGTATCGTGGCATTTATCATGCAGTTTAGACAGAACAGGATCGAGTTCCACGTGCCATGGCACTGTGGATAAAGGCGTTAATTAGATCCAGTGACAGGACCCAAAGAGTTTGAGTTCAATACAGGTTAAGGCAGTGGAGAATTTCAGAGGGAAAATTAACAGGAGATAACTGATAACGGACATCCATTAAACATGGCATGTGAAACTAGAACAGTCTACCCAAGTGAGCGAAATAAAGGGTTCAGTTTGACATTCCAATCACCTGAAGAAGGCCGGGGCGTACAACTGTCGAAACGTTGTAATAAATATGCCAACAAAGATGAGGAAAATAGTTCGAATAATGTAAATAGTATACATAATACCTCATCTCAGAAATATAGACAGATAATGAAATTTAACTCCTGAACGAAACATTTACACATGCACAGTTGTATATTGCATGCTCAAGAGTAAGAAATCGTAAGAATTTATTCTTCGCTGTTAAAAAGGAAAAGGGCAAAAAGAATTTTTGAAAAAAATTGTTTACATTGAAGTACATTAAAATTAAATTAAATGAAAGAAATTATTAAACCGTGAAGTAGGATTTTTCTCAAAGTAATTTTTGAAACAAATCAGATTATTTAAATTTAATTGACTGGTTCACGAAATTGAACGAAACGTAAAGTTTGTAAATTTCACCCAAAAATATTAGCGAAACTTCAACAATATTAAATACTGTAAAGATTTCAAAAAAATTCTAGAAAATAATAATTGCAAATTGTATTAAATTATTTTACTAATTTAATTTAATTTTATTTAATTTTTAGGAGCTTCGCAAGACACGTCATCTTTCCTTGAATTTAAAATTTATTTTATATATTATGATTATTATTTTTATTTGAAGTTATATATGAATTGTTTATTACTACTTTTTGTTACTTTTTCCTCGGCTACCGAGTTTTTCATTATTAGTATTTGTTTTTGTACAACCAACCTGAAGATCATTTGTGTTATTTTTACTTTCTGTTTTTGCTTACCTACCGTTATATTTATCAACTTTGCATTTTCTACCCTCGTTCATTGTTTTATTAAATGACAGTTTAGGTGTTAGTTCTGTTAAAAAAAAGCAGTATAAATTATTTTATTGTATATTAAATAATGACTTTTTAATTTTAGGCTTATATCTCCATTTATATTTTCATTTTTCTTTCTTCTGTCTTTTTTGTAAAATTAATAAACTTTTAGATATTAATGTTGGTTTATGTACGAAATACTAATTTGTCTTGTTTTCTAGTGTTTTTATTTAACAAAACGTTTTATATATTTAAAAAAAAAAAAGTTAACTTTTTGAGCTTCTAAAAGTTTATATACGTACATTATATATGTTCCAAAGTTTGTCCTAGGTGGCTGTGTGGTGGAGACAAGCGCCTACTATCTATAAAATGCTTCTCTGGCATAGGAGAAGGCGAACAACTGGCGCGTCATAACCAGCTGCTTGACCCATACGATGGACCAGTGCAGCCCCCTCCATATATATATATATATATATATATATATATATATATATATTTCTGATATTTCTGATATTTACTATTCTTGTCTGAGACAGCTCAAGGCCAAATATCTTTTTGAAGACTGTGCTGCGTCAGTGTTTTCTATGATCAAGTGAGGGTGCCTAGAAAATCAGCAATCATTATCGTGGCAAGATTTTATCATGCGTTCAAGTTCAGACAGCTAGCACCAATTGGAAATCCGAAACCCTCCTTGTGATTGTATATACATAACCTTCCTATAGTGAAGTCATAAATACACTATTTATTAGCCCCCGCATATCATTTTTCCACTTCATTTGAGAACTTGATTGCTATAATATGTTAGACTTTAACGTAATCTTCACACACACACACACACACACACACACACACACACACACACACACACACACACACACACACACACACACACTAACACACACATACTAACACACACGTATAGCCATTTCATTAATAATTCCTGTCTTCACACAACGCTAATTTTGTCCCCAATTATCCAGAACGAGGCAAACAGCGTATTCATGCCACTAATTAAACCAGAATTATTATTTACCCACGCTTTCATGAGTGACATAATTTATTGCCGATTCGAGACAAGAAAATTCTGTTATATATTTACTCTACATTTTGTCATTGTATACCATTGTATTCTCTTGCATTTTTATTTTATTTTTTTTTTTTTTTTACTAAACGTCTATTTTAGAAAAAAAAAACGAAACAAAAAACAAACAAACAAACGAAACAAAAGCCAGAACAAAAAATTATTGAAAGTATAAAAAGTCATACTTAGATTTATGACGATATCACACCTTTTCCGCCATTGACATTAATTCTTTAATTTCTTTAAAGGCTGGTGAATTCTATTTATCTGGACAGGGTTTGTAGTAAAAACAGAACCAATGAATAAACTTATACCAAAGCTTTATTGCACTTTACTCTGACTACTCGTCTACTGACGGATTTTACAGAGTGCTTTTTACACTCACTAGATCTTAAGGAGAGGTACCTGATGATTTATCAGTACAAGGTTAAAATTGGCATTAATTAGAATTCAAAATAAATATTACTTTCTTTGAACTGTAATTATTGCTACAAAAAATATCTGCAAGCAAATTATCGAATGCAGGTAAAGTTCAAGCGTGTAACTCTGCCATTGAGAGGATAAAACACTAACAACTCAATCATCTGAGACATCAGATATACCTCTCTATATCTCTGAGAGAATGTATTATGATTACTTACATTATTTACATTATTCGGACTGTTATCCTCATCTTCATTGCAATATTCACAACGTTTCGGCCGTTGTACACTCCGGCCTTCTTCAGGTGCTTGGAATTTTGAACCGAACCCTTTATTTCTAGAACAATCTACCCCAGTGGACGAACTAAAGAGTTCGGTTCGAAATTTTAATCACCTGAAGAAGGCTGGAGCGTACAACGGCCGAAACGTTGTGAATATGGCAATGAAGATGGGGATAAGTACCTCATCTCAGAGATATAGACAGATATATGGAGAGCCAAAGACATAAAGGCTGGAGCCTACAACGGCCGAAGCGTGAATATCAGAATGAAGATGAGGATAACATCCGAGTAATGTGAATAATGCAAGTAATCATAATACCTCATCTCAGAGTTATAGACAGATATATAGAGAGCCATAGACATAAAGGCCGGAGCGTACAACGGCTGAAAATTTGTGAATATGGCAATTAAGATGAGGATAACAGTCCGACTATTGTAAATAATGCAAGTAATCATAATACCTCATCTCAGAGATATAGACAGATATATAGAGAGTGTACGGCTGGAAAGTAATTAGATATACTGTTGACATATTTACAAATCTTACCCCGCAAAATAAAAGCCGAGTTCAAATTCTGTTCCATTCTATAGCGTTCATGTCACTTACCAAACCCTTACAGGTTATATAAAGCTAGAAAATATTTTTAGATTTTAAGATTTTTTTTTAGATAATAATGATTTAGAGATACAAGTATGGTGGAGTAATGGATAGTGGCTCGGATTGAGGAATCGGCGAGCCGAGTTCGAATTTCAGCCATAATCCATTACATTCACTTACGTGCTAATACTCTTGGGAAAAGTATGAATCCTCTTCTCCCACACCAGCTATGGATATATAGCAGAATTTCTGTAGCCTTGGATGGCAACTGGTCTACCGCTGAAAGAAATGGCAACCTACTGCGGGAAAAATCTGCCTCGTCAGTCATGTATAGAAAGGTACATGATCGCATGACTGACTGACTGATATAAGTATTACTAATTGACCTATATGTGAGTAGACAGGAGGGGGATTCCAACCTTTTCCAAGAATATTTGCCCATAAATAAATATAACGAACCCAATTGGAATTGGAACTCCGATTAACATTTTCGAGCTATTTTACTTGACACCACCCGCACATCCAAGCTTACAGCACTTTCTATTTCCAAGGGGTCACCCATCTAGGTTCTGACCAGGCTCGACGTTGCTTAACTTCTGTGATCGTACGGGAACCGATGTTTCACCGTGTCGCGGCCGTAAGTCAATCAATGCCTGAATCGAGGGGGATTCAGAGATAATAAAGAAAAGTGATAGGTACTTGGTATTAAAACCACCAAATCATTTTGGAGAAGGAACGGGAAAGTAGACGACTAAATTTCCCAAGAGGTCCCGCCAATTCATAGTCAATTAACACTAGAAATCTTTTGAGTGCTATGGTCGCTTAAACCCTAAATGACATTAAAAATGATCTTTTATGCACCCTGAATTCAAAACCGTGAAGAAAGACACGTAATAACAGATTTCTATATTGACCAAGCAGTCGTAGCAATTTCAAAAAGAAGCCGTGGAGAGCAATGAACGCTTATGTGCTGACGGAAGATGGCGATAAAGACTTTTTCAGCATATATTCACATATTATCTTTTCCAGTCAAAAATTATAAATAAAGTAATTTGTGGGGAGCCATGAACATCAAAAGTTTGAAGAAACATGATATTTAAAAAATCTTATATAACTCTAGTCGAGCATGGGGTTGCCGTCTTGAGCTACCAAGTAGCCTAGTGAGTTACATTTGATACTCAAGCGCATATAAATTTGGATGGCGTCCGTTAGCGACGTTGGCGATCTTGGTACTCCACAATTTCCTGCATTTTATAGCTTTTTTGCTTTGGTTTTTTCTTTTTTTTTCTCTCTCCCCTAAACCCTGTTCAGCCATCCATTTACACAAGCTACTTAGAGAGGTTATGCGTTGTTTCCCTCTTTCCTTCACGCTTTCTTATGTCCTGTGGGTGTCGAATTTTCTAAGCCCTCTTTCCTCATTATGTTCCCTAGAAATTTCAACTGTCTCTTCATGATGGTACGTATGAGTGCCTTTTTTCCACTTTCACAAAAAACTTCACATTTTCTCGTCTCTTCTTCATCTGTGAGTATGTTTTACACCGCACCTATGAACACTATTGTCCATGTCCGAATCCTCATAAATACGTTGGGCACAATTGCAAGTGGGGATAATATGCTGTCTAAGTAGTCCATCACTAGCAGTGGTTTACCTATTTGACAGCGCTGGCGAGTATTGTATTTTGTTGATGTTATAACGATTACCATTTCATTTCCAACCTCCGTTTTGGTTATTCCTCAGTCAGTAACCTTTTCTAGGTTATAACAGAGTATATTGTCCAGCATTCACTGCCATATAGGAAGGCTGATATTACATAACAGTTCAGTATTCTTTTCTTTGATTCTAACGAAATTTTTCTTGTCTCTTAATACTTTACTTAGCTTTTGTAAAACATTTTTCATTATTCCAACGCGCCTTCAGATTTCGGTGTCACACTTTACGTCCTCTGAGCTGTTACTGTTTCTGATAACCGTGAATTATGTCTTCTTACCAGTTGATGTTTTGTCCGATTCTTGCCACTTTCTTTCACTAACTTCTGTAAAAAATTTTATACTTTCCCTTCTACGTCTGCTATCAATACTTTGTCATCGCCAGAAAGTTTTCCTCGACCGAATCTATCCTTCAAATCTATAAATCAACTATTCGCCCTTGCATGGAATACTGCTGTCATATATGGTCTTGTGCCCCCGTTGTTCGTCTTAAGGTCCTCTGCAAAATCCAGAGACGGATATGCAATGTAATTGCCCTTGATTCGGCGGCATCTTGGTTTTAAAATTATATATATATATCAATCGATTGTTGACTGGGGCAGGAAATGACTAATTAACTATAATGCCTCAAAAACAAAACGGCTGTCTATTACTCTCTACGGGGAACTATCACTGCGTATCGTTAAAATGTCTCAACTCCACGAGAGCGCCTCTTTGCGACTGCTTGGTCTCACACTGTCTGCTGACTTGAGATGGAGCAAATATATTGAATCCACAGCTTTATCTACCGCAAGGTTATTTGGTTCTCTGTGTCGCACCAGATAGTTTTTCTCGACGGAGTCTATCCTTCAAATCTATATATCAACTATTCGGCTTTGCATAGAATACTGCCGTCAAATATTGTCTGGAGCCCCAGCTGTTCGTCTCAAGGCCCTCGACAAAATCCAGAGACGGATATGCAATGTGATTCGCCTTGATCTGACATCACGTCTACAGATACTTTCTCACAGACCTGCCGTCGCCTCCTTCTGTCTTTTCCACAAAGACTTTCACGGTAACTGCTCCGACGAGCTACTTTCGTTGGTTCACATACTGCACGAATTTAAACGTGGTACTAGGTTGCCATCTTAGTCCCACCCTTTCACTGTTGAAACGGCTAAATTTAGTCGCCGCTGCTACTTCAGTTGAAGAGTTAGAGGGGGAATAAGTACTTATGGAAATATAGTAGCTCATTAAGTTAAGATCTAATATTTCCCCAACTCTCTTTCCATTAATCCCTTATACCCTTTTATCTTTATATTTTAAAGTTATTTTTAAACACCATATTATTACTTTTAATTTTAAATTAATATTTCAGTCTTCATATAACCCCCAAATTAATGCCATAAGATTAATATTCGGGGTTAATTTTATAAGACTTCTTCCCTTTAAAACAAATACCTTCCACCCTCCCCTGATTCATGTCTCGTGCCTTTCGTCTGAATGAAACATTGACATAGATAAATTCCGTATTAGTTTGCAACTTTTTTCAGCTTTCACAGTTAAATTTCCATTTCTGACACGAATTCAGTCGACACCGGGTTCATGAGACAGACGACCGCTGTTTTCGTCTGCCGAAATAGGCTATTCCCCATATGAGGTGATTTGGGATTTTACTGTTTATTAATTATTTGCTCTGTAATAAGAAATACATTGATCTCTTTTTGTGGATCAGTTTTAATGTTTCATATTACTAGGATCCACTTGGATTATATAGCAACAGATTGGTTACCGTTACTATATATATATATATATATATATATATATATATATATATATATATTTGAGGCGGAAGATGACATCATCTAGTCTGGTTAGACGATGTCATCTTCCGCTTTAAATTTAGACACCCCAACCTTACCCTGACTTGACGTCTGTGAATGTAACTGAGATATTAATACACATTATTAACCCTTACGCCCCTTTTCTTTAAACAATTGCTCTAGCCGTTACCATAGGAATTTTAATTTCAATAATGAATATGCTTATAAAACACGTAAATTTCAGGAATAAGTTATTCAAAAAAAAAATTTCGCTTGAAGATGGAACAGAGCTTAGTACTTTAATTCAATTTAATTCAAATAATTATATTGAAGTTTTCAGCTCTTGTTTTGAAACATGAGAACTCTTATGTAGCGTGTTGTAATCATATTTTTAAATAAATAATTATATATATATATATATATATATATATATATATATCTTATGATTTGATGCTTACATGGCAGTATAAAAATGAATATCTATTGAAATAGGTTGATCCAGATTAATACTTAATGCAAATTATGACCTTTCTCTTTTTAGTTTTGTTTTTATTTTTATTTAAAAAATATTAATCTCCCTTTATTCTTTAAATATTTTTATTTGCTTATATATATATATATATATATATATATATATATATATATATAATAAAAATCACTTTTATTTTAAATGCAAAATATGCTTTTACAATACAAAAGTGTAATCCCCGATATATTATGCTAGGATTACACTTTTTTAAAAATTTTAAATTTCTTCAACCAGATATTTTTATTACAATCTAAATTACGTAACATCAAGCTATAGTCAGCACCTAATGATTGAATTGTGCATAAAATTCGTGCTATCGGTTAGGGATAATATATATGTGTAGTACTTAATGGAAACTGCTCAATATCAGTGATACAGACAACCTATTCAGTTGTATGGAGATGAGCAGTCAGCGTTGAAAATATAAAAATCATCCTCACTATGTCCACAAACAGAACGCAACTTGACCAAAGTGTATGTGCGCGTCTACGCATGTGTATATGTGTGCGAATGGGAATGTTGGTTTCTCTGATGTCGCAGGCGGTAGATCTGAAAAACGTCGAGAGCATCCTCTCCTCGCTGAAAGGAACATCGATGCTTATATAGCCACGTTCCCGACAACGAAATAGAATCATAACAATTACACATGTATGTAAGTTTGTCTGTGTGTATGAGAGTGTCATCCCGAACAGTTACGGAAGGAAATTGCCCTCTCATAATTTGTATCAATATCTCGGTTACATTCACAGATGTCAAGTTGGGGGTGTCTAAATTTAAAGCGGAAGAAGACATCGCCTAGTCTGGTTAAGCGGCTATGGAGATTTATTTATTTATTTTTATTTTATTTTTTTCTGAAAGGGTTTTGTGTATATAAAAACTGTCGTGAATTGCTAACATTTGTTTTTTGACGACTTCATAAAGGGTTATCTTTTTTGGTAGGGCATTTAAACTATTTATTAGGACTATGGATTTTAAAAATTATTTTATTGTTTGTTTTTGTGCTAATTATTCAATGCAAAAATTTGATGATGTCGGCAAAAAACCGTTAACTCATGTCTATTGTTTAATAGATTTTTATTATTTAGAAACTTAATAATGTGTAGCTTTTCATGCCTACATGAAAAGCTACACATTATTAAGTTTCGAAATTATATTAGATATTGATACGAATTATTAACACCCTACGGCCCTTTTTCTTTAAACAATTGATCTAACCGTTAACATAGAAATTTTGATTTTAATAATGAATATGCTTATAAAACATGTAAATTTCAGAAATTTCAGATTTTTCCCAAAAAAATTTCGATGGAAGAAGGAACAGAGCTTAGTACTTTAATTCAATTTAATTCAAATAATTATATTGAAGTTTTCGGGTCTTGTTTTGAAACATGAGAACTCTTATGTAGCATGTTGGAATCATATTTTTAAATAAATAATTATATATATATATATATATATATATATATATATATATATATATATATATACCCGCTGTTGGACATCTTAAGTTCCCTGTTTGTGCCAGACCTTGTAGGTCCCTTCTAGGCTAAAGAGCCATATCTGTTCCGCACATGAGTAGATATTCTCCAAAAAGATATGCAGCAATAACCGTATTGGATACGAGTTGGCAGAACAAATCACTACCCGATGAGAAATGGGGAATAAAAGAAGAAAGAACCAAAAACATTAAGGTAAGGCGAAAACAATCGTCTAGTGTTTAAGATCCAAGTCCAAAGAAAATAAACCCCAAAACGAGTAAAAAGACAACTGCATAAAGTACTCAATACACTAAGTAGAGCAAAACCTAAAATAATTCTGAGGAGTCAGACAAACCCACCTAAGTTTCACCTAAACGGATCTACAGGGTAAAGCCTGAAACCTAGCTAGGTTTGCCTGGCTCCTTAGGATTATATATATATATATATATATATATATATATATATATAAAAAGTGAACATAAAGTCAACACTTAGAGGCGACAGTCTGTTTCATGTATATGCAATCGTCAGGCCTGACGATTGCACATAGCATGAAACAGACCGTAGCCTCTAAGTGTTGACTTCTATGTTCACTTTTATATTTACACACGCTCTATCTCTGATATCGATCACTTTATCCCATAAATATAGCAAACCTTAAGACTATATTTCTTCATATATATATATATATATATATATATATATATATATATATATAAAAAGAAATCAATGGTCAGAGTTGAATTAGACCAGGAAATAGTAGTATTAGAAAAGTGCTCGATATACATATAAAAAAGCTAATTATTAAAACAATCCTAGCAATACCTGACACCTTTGTCAACAAGAGAAATTAGCTATAATAACATTTCCACACCAAAAAAGAAAAAAACAACAAATAAAAACTTTTAAACCAAAGATCGGGAATTATGTCCCGTTGTATTCATACTAAAAAATTCCTTTTGGGTTCATTTGAAGTGGGATAAAAATAACGTACGTATATTTCATTTAATCCCTTACCAATACATTTCTAATACTCTTAATTTTCCCCTCTTCCTCACCTCCTACCACACCTCACCTCGTGCGCTTATTCCTTTATATACTTTTTAAAAAATATAACGTTCATAAATTTTTATTTATAATATAAATAAAGCGTTAGGAAATCAATTGACCAAAATCGCCTGAAGATACCGTAAGGTTGAAACCAAGGTAGCGGAATCGGCTGATCTCCGAATTCTCTCTCTCTCTCTCTCTCCCCATATATATATATATATATATATATATATTTATAAGTAACGAAAATCTTGATAATCCGAATGGTTAATCCCAAGAAGGATGAAATCCGGAGAGCTCAATGTTAAGTCAGAGCGAATAATTTAATTTAAAGAAAAAACAGACCACTTTAATATATATTGGTCTGTTCATATCTATTTTTATATCTTAATCTATTCATATATATCTATTTATAAGTTTCAACGTGTTCACACCTATCTATCTATCTTGGTCACTTCATATTTGTCTAGCAAATATATATATATATATATATATATATATATATATATATATATATATATATATGACTACGTGTAAGGTAAATCCAGCTTTGAAGACGGTTTTGTCTGGGAATTATTGAGTAGAAATATTTTGTCACAGAATGCGAAATAAAAAGGTAGAGAATTTCTAGAAATGGGAATGTTAAAAAACCTTGCATATCCCTTCTCATGAATAAGAAATAGTTCATCTCTGCCAAAGAAATATTTCCGTTCTAATCATATAAAAGAATTTGAGGATTTCAGAATAACTTTTGATTAAAATTGCCAAAAAAAAAAAAAAAAAAAGGAAAAAAGAAAAAAAAAAAGAAAAAGATCTCGCTTTTCATTTTTGTTGAAATCTTTCCGTTGGCCTTCAATGCTGAAAATATAAATTGATCTCCGTCTCTTTGTGTCGAGCTGACAAGATAAAAGACATTTTTTGTACGTCATGAATAATTTCATTAAAATTTCAAAGCAAATATAAAGTAAGAATGTGGAGTTCTTCTACATTTAACCCTTACAATTCTACTGTCATTAAACACCATCAACTCCAACGAAAGTGATTTAAAAAAACAAACAAAAAACCCTTTACCCTCGTCTCAAAAGGACGAAGAATGAAAAACAGTTTTCATATATTTCTATGAATTCAAGACATAAACACACTGCTTAATTGATATTTGGCTCTTAATTAGTTTAAAAGAAAAGGTAATATTTTACTAATTAGTTAAGTTTAATATTTCCTAAGTGCAAAATTATTTTTGAGAAAAAAATATTTCTTTAAAGATAACCAATGAATAAAATATCCCATAATAATTCAGATTGTCTCACCCTTACTTACTTAATTAATTACTTACATACATAACGTCTACGTACGTTATGTCCTGCCAATGCTTTATAAATAACTAGCATCATGGCCCGGCGTTGCCCGTGCTTGATTAAAAAATCATACAGCAATCGCTATCACTTGACTTCAAATATTTTTGCCCTTCCTTGCCTTTAAAAGAGTGCCCTTTGCCGTGCTGATGTTGCTACATGCCTTACTTCTTGCCTATCTCACACTGCGAATTTTTTCTAAGCTTTATACTAAACATTAAATCTGTTACGAAAAAAGAACTAAACAAAATGAACACAAAACGATCAGCTTTAAAAAAATGACTCGTAACTGGAAAAACCGAATGAAAAAGAATGTTAACAACAAATACTTTTCACACCCAACCCAGTTCTGCGGAATCAGAATCAACGTTGAGTTTAAGCAAGCGAATGAGCCAATTGGAGATTTAATGTGACATGCAGATTTAAATTTTTCCCACTTTTGACGAATGCAGCTATCGATTTTTTTTGCATGCTAGTTAACATTCGTGTCAGTCAGCTGTTGGCTCTCATGCTGGCCTGTAGAAAATGGCCGCAAACTACATGAAAAGTGCCGTAGAAGCATGAAAAAATCGATTATTTCTACTATCGATGGGAGTTGGGAAATGCAAAGTCAGACTTGGCCTTCCCGCTAACTTGGAGCATGTGCATGTAAATTTTGGTGCAAATCCATCAAAAATTGTATTTTTCAGTGTTTGATGCAAAATAAATGTCTATTTTTAAGACTATATAAACTTATTTTTATGATGACATTTAAGTATAATATCATTTCTCTAGTTCAATAACTGGCTTGTATTTAATTATTTTAATTTTTTCTTCCAGGCATAGTTTGCATCTGTTGATATATATATATATATATATATATATATATATATATATATATATATATGTGAATTAAGATTAAATACAGATAGAAATGCAAGAGAATGATAGGATAAATGACAAATAGGAAATCTTTATAAATCTGACATGCTTTGCTTTTATTAACACTTGAGATGGGGAGGTTTATTTTCCACGAGGGTCGGCCATGTGAAGGTGAGAGGAGGATCCCACTTGCTTGGTGGAAGAAATCGGCTGTGTTTATGTCGGCTCCGGTTAGCATCGTAGTCAGTTGGCAATATCTTTTGGTTGATGATTAAAAATTAACTTCCGCATTTTGACTGTACACATGGGTTTCATTTGGCCACCATGTGTATTTAAAGTAGTTTCCGGTTATTATTTTTAGTTAGGAGGACTTGTGTATATTTATGTTTCATTTGTTTTACTTTTTGTGTATCGTTCTCTGAAAAAAAAAAAAAGATGAGTCACCGGAAGTTAACGGCATTCGTTCTGTTTTCGGACGTTTGAGTAGCCGGCAGTAAATTCCGGCCGGGTGCGATAACCTTACCCGTGCTTTCAAATTGATTTCGTGCAAAAACAATTGTTTTTCCAATTTTTGGCGCTGTCAGAACCACCGCCGGGTAATTTTACGTAGTCCTGTGAAGTTTTGTTGAAATCGGTTGAAAAATGTAGGAAATACGATCCCATATGTAAACGAACAGACACACACACACACACACACACATACACACACACACAATCTGCGTTTTATAATAAGTAAGATGTACTATTCCGTTTCGATGGCGTGGAAAGATAAAAAAAGACATGTCAGAGACGCTACCTGATTCGAGTGAGAAAAAAAAAGACAGAAATGGTAGATGTTTATTTTACACTGATATTCAAGCTTTACAAGTCCTGAGAGCCACTCGAGGTGGAGGGTTACAGAGTAAGATACACAGTTTATGCGGACATGTCGGGAAGATAAACGGTTAACTCTAGACATGAACTAGTTTATATTTAAATGATCGAGAAAGAATCCTTTTAGACTTGCCGGACTGTAATAAAAATATTACCGAGATTGTTCTCAGTGCGACAGGGCGGAAGGGGTGGTCGGGAAGTGGATGGTCGTTGCCATCTAGTGTTGGGTTAGAGGCTAAATAGATAAATCTGAATAGATTAAGATAGATAGATAGATAGATGTGGATAGGCTGAGATAGATAGACATGAATAAGTTGAGATAGATAAATAGCAAAATATGAATAGATTAAAATAGAAAGATAATCGATAGATATGAACAGTTCAAGGTAGACCGATCAATAGATAGATATGAACAGGTTGAGATAGATATATATGAATAGATTAAGATAGAAAGATAAATGATAGATATGAACAAACCAAGATAGATAGATAGATAGATAGGTAGATATGAACAGACCAAGATAGATATGAACAGGTTGAGTTAGATAAATCGATATGGATAGATAGATAGATAGATATGGATAAACTGAGATAGGTAGACATGAAAAAGTTAAGATAGATAAATAGATATATATGAATAGATTAAGATAGAAAGAAGATAGACAGATATGAACAGACCAAGATAGACAGATAGATAGATAATTAGCCGACCGATAGATAGATAGATAGATAGAAAGATAGATAGATAGATATGAACAAGCTGAGATAGATAATAGATATATAAGAATAGATTAAAATAGAAAAATAGATTATAGATATGAACAAACCAAGATAGATATGAACAGGTTCAGATCGATAAATAGATATGAATAGATTAAGATAGATAGATAGATAGATATGAACAGCTTTTTTATGCAGTGATGTTCGCTCTGTACATGGCCAAACAGCCACTCAAGTTAGAGCGTTACAGAGTAAGAGGTACAGGAAGATAACGTTTGACAGTAAGAGTAGGTTCGATAAAGCAACTGTTCGTGGGAATACAAAGGGAATGAGGGTGGTTGGCTGCAATGGGCGTGGCATGGTGGGTCTTAGGCGTGAAGGTTAGAATTGGCTGAATTTCGTTTGTCTGAATAATGGAAATAGCGACATAACAACGAGAGTTTTGCAACGTTTCATCTGTGAAAGGGTGGAAAACAATTCATCACTCACAGCGCCGCGAAGACGCTTTTGAACTCTAACGAGACTCGAAAGTGGAAACTGGGTAGCTCCTTCCCATATATGGCAGCAGTGTTCCATTTTTGACCTCTATTTGGCTCTTATAAAGGTACAGGGTGGAAGGAGGAGTCAGGGACATACTGGAGCTGTCCAGGGAACTAACCTGTTTTCCAATTATCTTTAACAATAGATCATATGTAGGAGTTTCTATTTGAAGGTCTGGGTTGAGGTAAACAAATCACGGGAATTTCCGTTCATCGTTATCGGTGAATGTTTTGGGTTTCCTCGGTTTGAAACGTCACTGGTTTAATTTTGAGGCACTGACCAGCCAGTTTGTCTCCCTCTGAGCCGTTAGAGCTTGACCATAAGAGAGATCAGCTACAAAGCTTTCGTCATCTACAGTTTTCGATATGCACTCATGCACCCTTCTATTCTGAACATAGATATTCATGAATGACCGGAGTAATAATAAAATAATCTATACTAGAGGGACTTGTGGAATTTCCACGGAACGACTAATAGAATGTTGAGTAAACAATAAAGTTTTTCTGTATATATATACTGAGGACAGATTTTATGGATTAGTAAAATCCTTGCTGAACAAATGAATACAATTATATTTAATTACAAACAAGTAAACATGAAATTTAGCTATTATTTAATTTTATTCAATAAAACCACCACTAGCATCAATAACTGCCTCTACACGAGGTCGAAATCGGCTGCAAGCTCTGATTAATTGGTCTTTATTTATATTAGACATTACTCGAACTATTGCAGCTTTAAGAGTGTCTTTGGTGTTATGAGGCTGTTTATTAACCTCCTTCTTAACAACGCTCCACACATAATAGTCTAGTGGATTGATATCTGGAGAGTTAGGAGTAGGAGAGTCATGTTGGGTGTGATGTGGTCGTACAAATGGTCAGCCATCCATTCTTGTGTTTGTAGAGCCTTGTGGGATGGAGCCGAGTCTTGCTGGAATATGTAAGGCCTGCCGTTGCATATGTAGTCAATCCAGACCTTGACAAATGTTTCTAGAACCTCAATGTAAGCAGCAGAATTTACTCTAAGACCTTGTGGAAAAAAGCATGGTGGCGTAACATGTCCTTCATTGCTAACAACACCTAATACCATAAAACTTGGAGAAAATTTTGTGCGCATCACTCTTGGCACCTCAGAAGGATCTGAACAAAGCCATCTGTCATTTCTTTTGTTAAGCTTTTGATCTTGATCAAAAATTTTCTCATCGGAGAAAAACCAATTCACATCAGCTTCTGAAGGATTTTTAAGTTTGTTTAAAAGCCTTTTGGATCTGTTTAAACGGTTTTCTTTTGTTTTTTTTAGACATAAATTGACCTCTCTTCATCAAGTAGGACTTGTATCGAATGTCTTCATGAACACTCCTTCTGATTGTTTTTTCAGACACATGCAGCTTTTTGGCAGTTGATCTCACTGATTGACCTCAGCTTTCATCAATTGTCTGCTTGACTTCCTGAGTAAATTCGGATGTTCTCACTTTATCAGAACGTGCAGAATGTCTTTTACGTTTTGATACAGACATTGGGGAACTGTCAGAGTCTTCTAACTCTTTTCGTATATTGTGGACAAACGATCTTGCAACTCTGAGGAAACGTGCAATATCTAAATCGCTATGATCAGCCTTTAATACCACAATCACAGCATGCCTTTTCATTTCATTTGTTACCATAGGATTTGCCATTCTTGATTTCTGAAAAATAAGAGCATTAGAAGTTAGTGGGAAGAAGTATTAATCTTAAATCTGTATGTCCTCAAATACCAGCCGCACCCTATATGTATAAAAATAACGCATTGAAGGAGCAATTAAAATCTCTACATGTACAAGAGAATGACACACTTTGGTTGAAAATAGTAAAGTTCCAGGAAAGAACATAAGCATGAGATCCCCGGTAGGATGGATACAATAGTTACGACCACAGCAAACACCCAAAGGACTTCTGACTCAATATGATGCTGCGAAAAAAACGTGCAAGAATCAGCGTGGCCGAAAAATACACCAGGCCAAAATGAAACGTGCAGTAGTGGCTGAGAACACACAACGCATAGGTGTTACACCAAGTAAGACGGAGATGGAACAGGTCCCGGTGACAAACCACAGCGCCCAGCATCATCCACTGTAGACTCAGATCTTACCGGACAGAGTAGTCTCTAAGCGGATTAAATGGCCCCAGCAAGCAACAAGAAAGTTTGGCGCGATTTTGATGAAGACGTATGCGTTATAATCCAAGGTACGTCTGCAGGTAACATAGACCGACGACATCAATCTATGAGTAAACTCATTGTCAGCTACGATCAGTACAAACAAGCATACCCGATCTATAACAACGAATAGCCCAAGTGAAGTCTTGATTAGTTGCTGTTTTTGGGGGGAACTTACATAAAGCCCGTCCTAAAGCTAGTAGCAAATTTTATTTTGGATGCGGGCCGAATACTGAACATGTCCGGTCGGGTTGCCCATCGAAGAAGTCTGTTGTTTATTTAGACCCGAAACTTCTAGTAACATGGGAGCAACAATAATGAAGACACGCCTAGATTCGGCACAAAAAGGTGTATTTTTAATAAACGTGGTTCATAGAGTGTCACCATTGTTATTTCTACGTTAACAACACGATGGGGGAAGACAAAAGAGCTTAGCCTTGACTTAAGACAGAGAATTATTAAATTCAACATGTCAGGAAACAGTTACAGCGCTATTTCAAACCGGTTAGCTATCCCTAGACCTACGGTACAGTCTGCTATATAGAAGTTTAAACAGTTTGGAAGCTTAGAGATAGAATTTGCCTGGGCTTGGAAGAAAACACAAATTGTCACCGAGAACTGTACGAAAAATATGTCGCAATGTTAATATAAACTTAAGAGTTGTTTTGAAAGACATCGCCAAAAATTTGGATATGATGTGTATCAGCATAAGTACTCGTACAATACAATGTTGTTTAAATTGAAATGGGCTGTACTGAAGCCGACCACGAGGGAACCTTTTTCAGAAACCATGTCACATTATTGTTCGATTTTTGGAAAAGAAAATTGCTTTTAGGAACAAGTACTATGGAGCGATGAAACAAAGATTGAACTTTTTGGATATAATGATGTACCGAAGATTTGGCGCAAGAAAGGTGAGGCTTTCCTCCTAATAAAAACACAGTGGCAACATTAAAACATGGAGGCGGCTCGATGATGTGTTGGGGTTGTTTTAGCTCAAGGGGGAGTGGACAATTAATTGCAATAAGAGGAATAATGAAATCTGTAAACTAAAGAAAAATTCTAGATGAAAAGCTACAGCTATCAGCACACGATCTTCATCTTGGTCGGCAATTTACTTTCCAGCAAGATAGTGACCCCAAACATACGTCTAAATCAGTGACTGCGTAGCTTCAGAAAAAGAAACAGTTCTGCCATGGACTTCATCGAGTCCTGTCTTGAATCCTATTGAAAATCTATGGCAAGAATTGAAAGTTCGAATAAATCGTCGGTCACTAACAAACATCAGGAATTATAACGTGTAACAACTGAAAAATAGAAGAAAATCCCAGAATCTTGTTCAAATCTATAGAAAACAATTGCAGCAAGTTATAAAGATGAGATGCCATGCTCTTGATTATTAATATTGTGAAAAGTCTTCAATTTTATCTATTTTTCATACTGTACGAATAATTTTATCGTTTCCTATCTTGCATAATTCGCCTGTCAAAATATGTTGTATTTAACATATTGTTCGGAAAACTGAGTTTTATATTCTCTTTTTTAAGCTTATTATAATATACAAAACCTGGCATCATATGAGGATTAGATTCTGAGAAATCGATAGAAATATTCAAAATTGATTGGTGTATGAATAATTTCGTCGTTGACCTCGTTGACTGTATATATAATGTATGTATACATATACACCAATGACACATACCTAATGTAATCAAGGGTCTCCAGAATTTCTAAAACCATTCCATTCCTTCAAGTCAGTACCTCTCGGCAGACAATGTTCTTATAACAGTTCGCCCTCTTTATCACCTTAACTCTTGCATCTGAAGAGTTTGCGAGTTCTAGGATTATGCTACATACAATTGACCGTGCCTGAACACTGGCTGTGGTAAGAACAATCCCACCTTCTCAAATGTCTGCTCCTGTGACTTGTTAACAGTTATGGCATATGAAAAACGTACAGGAAACTGGGTTCCTTAAAAGGCGAGTTAGAATCTCTTGGAGTCATATTTATCCCGGTCATAATGAGCCACTAACCAAATGAATGTTGAGGCATGCCCACCACTTCCAGTCTTTTATGATTGCAGAGTCCAGTCTGGATAGAAACGTTACGAAGAAGCATTACTATTGAGCCGGGATTTAAAGTCAATTTATGAGGAGGCATTTCTGATGGTTTCAGAACGTTTAGAAATTCAAGTGGGTAGCGCTCATCCTCAGGAAGATCATCTGTCAAAACATTAGCTGTACTATAATAGGTGCAACAGTGTCAGGGAAGTTGTCTCAAAACTTCTTCATTGATCCGGTGTCAGTCTGAGTTCTTTGATGAAAGAATTACTCTTCTCCTTCTCTCTTCCTCAGGTGTATTGTTGAAGATATCATCCACCAGAGAGCCGTCAACGCATGAAATTTGAGGCACAACAGCAAGATGAGGGTCTTGTGATGCTGCTGCAGTTCTACTGCCAAGATGCAAGGGCTGTGCTGCAAATTCCTTTTGATCTGCTCTTGACCTGATCAGCCATAGTGGAGAAATTTAAGACGTGACTGCCTCAAGTGTTCCTCTTGGCAGCATGGGTAGGACTTGCCTAAAATCTCCCCTCCCCAAGCACAACTTCACAACCCAAATCCGCAGCAATGCTAGTGATATCTAACAAGGCTTTATCAATAGCATGAAGGGCAAAGGGATCATAGAAGCCACACCCAAGATGATCAAATCCAGGTTTCGTAAATAATTTGCATGGCCTGAAGTGACTGGTACATTACAAACGCTGGCTTCAGTGAGTGAGACAGCCAATTTCAACAAAGTATGGATAGTCTTTCCACCTTACAGTGTACAGGCAATGTTTATCCAAGCACCACTGCACACATTGCAGTTGTTCCTTCGCAGATGAGAAATTATAGTATTAAACACATAATTTTTACCACAACCCCCTGGTGCATCTACATACAAACAGGCGTGGTTGGACATCTCACCTCTCCTCTTCTTATCTACAGATTCAAGCACAGCATTAGCAATCAGTCTCTGTTTATCAGTAACTGTTGCAGTACCTGAGGGATCGAGCTTTTCATGATGGTGAAGCTGCGGTACTCCAATAGGTTTAGGCAGCCCAATTGCTAAACAATTAATGCCATTCTCTATCAGAATGGCATCAATTGAGTGCAGTGCCATGTTTTCTGCGTGTTATGCGTTAAAACCTTGGTGTAAGAAATCTTCAATCATGGATTCCTTGCGACTGGTCCACAGGTAAATAGCATTTGCAGGGTTCATATACCTGCACAGAGCATCAAGCATAACACAATTGCAAGGGCATCAGACAGGCAGCAGTTTCTAGCAATGTATGTTCCAGTATGTTTGAAAGAAGACCATATCTGAAGACATGCTGCCTTAAATATTGGCAAGATTTCTCCTTCTACAGTGTGCAAATCGTGGAATCTCATGGCGCCTGAAACAAGTCTCTGGGACTCACTCACTGATGGATTTTATATTCCTTTGCTTTGGTGGCCATCTTCTAGAGCGCTTATTAAACACATAATGCAGCAGAATGTCAGGGTACAAGTGGTGCCTTGCATCATCATCATGCTTATTCAGTTTAAGCCATGCAGTGAGGGTTTTGTCAAGGTCCCTCTGTATCTAAGCAGCTTGCTGAGGGTTGTTTCCGTGAAAGTAAACTCTTTGCTGGTCTTCAAAATGCATTGTGAGATGTATCATGTATCTTGAACTCTGACATTCTCCACATAGCATCCGGAGGGGAAACATTAGCAAGCAAGATAATTAGTAATTTCATCTTGATCTTGATTCTGTTCAGGATCTGCTGCTACTTTGTCTCTTACTTCAATAGATGCAGAGTTATGTCCCTTGTACATAGACTTGAAGATTTATTTAATGCATTTCACTGATGTACACATTTTCAAAGCCAGTAAGGAGAAGACAACCCATTAAACAAGTGACTTTATAACGATAATGTCATTTAGAGGCCACCATAAAAATTTTCTGGTGCCAATTTAATTTTTCGAAAATTCACAAAATTATGTAAGTGCGTTGTAACATAAGTAAAAAAATATGTTTACTATGTTATAGTCCAGGTTAGGAGCAAGGAAGAACAACACGAACACAAGAGTAGAAATAACGAAGGTATATTACACGAAATAATAATACAAGATGTGGAAGGTGTTAGTATGACTGTCAGTCTGGTTTGGAGTGAACTACTATCGGCTCGACTCGATTCGACCCTCTCTCTTGAGAGGCGTAGTATACATAGTGTTAGGAAGAGTTCATTCTGTAGTTATAGGTAAGGACTCATGACACTATAATTTTATGAAAAATAAAGAACGTAAAAATAATTTCCTTCATTTCCAAATAAGTCCTGAACGTTTCATTCAAATCCGACAATTATTTCATTTTTGCAAGAATTTCCAAATCAATGTGTTTTTACAAGATTTTACTAAAAAAATGAAAAGGATTAAAAATGTAATAAAATAATAAAAAAAATACTTTGTTCTTTTCTCTTAATAATAGCAAATATTTTGACGATAAAAATTCGTTTTTATTAAGTTCTTGTTCATTGGCTCCTTTTTCATAATGTTATGCTTTTTTTCAGCGAAAAAGGGGAGGTACATACCCAAAAGAAATACAAGAAAATATATATAAAAAACACGAAGAAAAAATTGATAAAAAGTCTGTTATAGGCATCCTCCATTGCCGCTCCACTAACTACTTTAGAGTGGTGAGGGTAAGGTGTTTCTTTGAAAATCTCCGGCATTTGTTGACGGCAAGAATGAGATGGTGTGGATGAGGGTTTTTCTTTGAAAATCGCCGGCAGTGAGATGCCGAATACAGAGTGGTACTAAAATTATTAAATAAATCATAAATTTTGGCCTTGTATAACCGTCATTTGCGTTATTCAGAATGTTGATTTATCTAGTGTCGCGAAGGGTTCTGAAGATTGGTTGAGGTATGAACCTGTTAGTCCCTACCATCGTCGACTTAGGAATAAATACTGCATGCTGATTGCCATTTTAACTGAACATGCGATCTTCAGACCACCATATTTTCATAATGCTATTGATCTTTACAGATAGGTTCCTGGGGAACTGAGAGAATTTGGGGAAGGAGGAAACCGGCCCTTCCCAGATATATCATCTTTAAGATTAATGCTTATGGCCATAACCTCATACTTTATGCCTATATTTACATATATATTGTTTGATTAATTTATAGTGATTTATTAAGCATAGTTTATATGTGGCACAAGGCCGAAAATAATGAGCGCATGTGAGGATCGAACTCAGTATTCAGTATATACATTGATATAGGTAGACCAGCTTGCTAACCACTACACCACGTCCAAGTACCCTAAAATGATTTTCTAAGCGCAGCAAAGATGTGGCACAAGGTTGAAAGTATAGGGCACCCAATGAGACTCGAACTCACTACACAGTCGTAATTGTTCTAGCGAGAGTAGTTGGTTAACCATTACACAGCGATGTTAGTTTTTTTATGGTGATTTTCTAAGCACAATTAAAATGTGGCACAAGGACAAAAGTATGGGGCTCCCAGTGAGGATCAAACTCAGTATTCAGTTTTAATTGGTCTAGCGAGACAAGCTTGTTAACCATTACACCACATCGAGTTACCCGATATCGTTTATTTATTTATTTCATATTTTTATTTCTTTCGTTTATTTTTATTTCTTTTCATTTTCATTGGGTTCTAAATTTTGCTATTTGGAACAAAGTTGATTAGTTTTAGTTCATAGCATCTGATTAACTCTTTTCAATCAAGATGGGTTTGTAGGTAGAGTAGTAGGAATTTAGTTTTCGTGTCTGAATTTGGAAATGCACTCTGATCACGTGTTTATGTCTTTTCTTTATCTAGAAAAGGGTTTGGGTAGAATTTTCCCCTTGTGATTCGTTTCTTTGCTGTTGTTTAATCCTGTGTTGTTTTTCTTATTTTTCATTTTATGTTTTGTTATATGAAATAAAACGAAGCATTTTTGCAGTCATTTCACACCAACTAAAGACAATATAGTCACTAAGACACAAGGGGGTTACTGAGAGTGAAACAGCTGAAAATCTATTGAGTAGAAAGTGAAGTAAAGAGAAAGTATTAAAAAACACAGGATCACGATTGACACTGAATTTCAATTTTCGCCGATTGCAGGTAACAGGAAAGCAAAGAAGCCGGATGAGAGACCCACATGGGAGAAGGTCGAGAGAAGAAACCAGTAGAATAAAACTTATGGTTAAAATTTCAAAAGTAAAAGGATTAAATCTAGTCTTCTTCTTCTTCTTCGATATGCAATATCCCTTTAGGACGTGGGCAATCATGTATCCCCACAATTACCTGTCCTCTTAGTAAAGTTTGTCGTTTTCCTATCTCTCATCCCTGTTCTGCCAACCATATGAAATATCTCCTTAGGTAAATTATGCGCTGTATTCCATTGTTCCCCTGTCCTTCAATATATCCTGTGTGTATCATTTTTCATTATGTACCCTATGCCAATCTAGCCCTACGCTTAAATTCATGAGATTCATATTTTAAAATTTGGGTAAGAAACGTTGGATTGAAGGACCGATATACTTCGTTGGACCAATTCCCATGCAAATATATAAACCCTACCCTGTTTAAAATTGTCCGAACGATACATAGATCAAATGATATTTATATCAAAAATCCAGATACATAAATCAAAAAAATTTTTTATTTACCGATAGATCAAAATGATGGATTGCTGAAATTACATTTTAAAAGATACATAAATCAAAAATGATATTTATATCTAAATATATATAGATCAAAAAGATACCTGAAATTAAAAGATACATAGAAGAACAAAACCAGATATTTATATCTAAAGATACATAGATTTTGAAAAACTCATTTTTGATCTAAAAATATATATATTTAAAAAAAAAATTATATCAAAAGATTACAATATCAAAAAGATATATAAATTGAATCAAAAGATACTTCAAAGAAAGATACATTATTTTGGGAGATCAAAAATATTTATATTTTCTTCCATATCTAAAGATATATATATATATATATATATATATATATATATATATATATATATATATATATATATATATATGTATACAGAAAGATTCTGGAGGATAAAA